CACCCTTGCAAGGCAGACATTCTATTTATTAACATGCAGCTTTCAGAAGAAATCTCCAGGAAACATGCAGAGCTGATGATTTCCTGCTGCCCCTCAGCTGGGGTTAGACAGGAAAGCTCAGTGTCTGCAGAAGGAACCCCCAGCAGGACCAGCCTGACCTGGCTCAGGGAGCAAGGGCAGTGCTTACCTGTAATACCGTGACTGCAGGTACGTGGAGCACACGGCCTTGGACACGTGGCTGGCTGACCCAAAGTCTATCACCTTCACTCTGTAGGGCTGGCGTGCAGGATCCACCAACATGATGTTCTCCGGCTTCAAATCAGCGTGGATCAGACCCAAGCTCTTCAGCTTCATCAAGGCAGTTGCCACTTGCTGCAGGATGGGCCGGATGTATTTCAAGGGCAACGGACTGAACTTGTTTTGCTTTAAGAAATCATATAAGTTCTGTTCCAGCATCTCAAAGACAAGGCATGTATGATTCTTGTGTTGAAAGCACTCGTAGGAGCGGACAAAGTTGTACTCGTCGGCATTCTCGCTGCTCAGGCGAGACAGGATGCTCACCTCGATCTGGCCCTGCCGGGCGTAGGAAGGGTGGTTCTTCAGGATTTTGATGGCTACAATCTCCTTCGTGCTACGTTTCCAACATTTCGCCACCTGCCCGAACGTCCCTCGTCCCAGGAATTCCAGGACCTCATAGCTGTTGGTCATAGAGCACAGGATCTCATGCTGGACCAGCTGATAATCTCCCTCCCCGCTGGAGCTGCTGCTTTTCGTGGTGACCGTGGTGGTCGTGGCCGCAGCTCCCACCGCAGGTCTGTTTTGCAGCATGAGAGGTGGATGTTCCTCAATGATCTGCACGCTACCGTTGCTGTCAACCTCTTCACTTTTCCTTTTTAATCCACATTTTTGGTATGGTTCCAGCAAAGAAACGTTGCTCCTGTGGGTGAGGGTCTGGCTGCTCTGGAAGGACGCTGTGGCGCTGCTGCCGGTGCTGTCGGCCGCGGTGACCACGATGTGCTCAACGGAGGGAGCGGGGAGAAGGAGGTTCTGGTCGTAGGCAGGGATGCTGAAATTGGCTACCTGATGAGAGGAGCTGGCTTGCCCTTGAGCTGCCGGGAGGTTTTTGCTGTGGGTATAATACTTGTCACTACTGCTCTGTCCTGAAACATCCCAGACAGACGGCTCCACTTTCAGTTTCTTGGCACTGCAGAAGGCACTCGAGGATACTGACGGAGGGGAGAACACCTGCAGCTGTGAGGCCATACCTGGAAAGGAAGAGGAGAACTCATAAGGGGCAGCAGGTTGGGATGGACAACATCCTTTGTCTGCACCAAACCCAGAATGACCAAAATCCAGTGTTCTTCTGAGCACCATGTGGTGCCCACCACTGAGGAAGGGAACCTCTGTAAGTGCTGCCCTCAGGGCATCACCGAGCAGGCTGTGCAGTGGGATTACTCCATCTGAGAAGCACACGGCTCTTTATCCAGCTCTCTAAGGGCTACAGGAGTCCCAGGACACGACAGGAATCACAGAGTCAAATTGGTTGGAAAGACCTCTGAGATCATCAGAGTCCAACCTGGTGACCAAACACAACCCTGTCACCCAGACCGGAGCGCTCAGTGCCAGTTGCTCAAACACCTACAGGGCCGGTGACTCCACCAGCTCCCCGGGCAGCCCGTTCCAGTGTCTAACGAGTGAAGAAATTCCTCCTATTGTCCACCCTAAACCTCCCCTGGCGCAGCTCAACGCTCTGTGCTCGTTACCCGGGAGAGGAGCCCGACCCCCACCTGGCTACACCCTCCTTCCAGGGAGTTGCAGAGAGCGATAAGGTCACTCCCGAGCCGCCTTTTCTCCAAGCTAAAAAAAAACAAAAACCCAGCGCTGGAGAAAACAACCCCGAGGATGGGGGGAGCGCAGGAAGTGGGAAGCCCCCGCGAGGATTACGATCCCGTCCCCGGGCCTGTTTCCTAGGCACGGTGGGAAAGCCAACCCACCGCCGGTGGGGGGTTCTCAGCCGCGGGCCGGACCTGCCTGGGGGACACGCGGGGGTGCGGAGCCCCGCAGCGGGCTCATCATAGCCCCGCCACGGCCGCCGGCCCGGCCCGCTCGGCCCGCGCTACAGCACCGGGGACCGAGCGGGACGGGGCCGGGTCGGGCTGGGGAACCCAACGGGACAGCACCGGGGACCGAGCGGGACGGGGCCGGGTCGGGCTGGGGAACCCAACGGGACAGCACCGGGGACCGAGCGGGACGGGGCCGGGTCGGGCTGGGGAACCCAACGGGACAGCACCGGGGACCGAGCGGGGCAGGGCCGGGGAACCGAACGGGACAGAGCGGGACCGGGCCGGGCGCGGGGAGCTGGGCCGGGCCGCGCTCCGGGTGTCAGAGCAGGGCCCAGGCTCTGCTCCGGGGCTGGCCGCGCTCAGCAAGTTGCAGCTGAACACAAGAACTGTCCTGGGAGGGAACAGATGCCCTGAGAGGGTGGGGAGTGCCCCTGACTGGAGATGCTCCAGACCCACCCGACACAATCCCTGCCCTGGCACGGGAGCTGGGAGCAGCTCCGATGCTTCCAAGAAGGGATTTAGTCCAGTCAGGTCACCATCACCCACTCAAGAACTCCACAGCATTCCAATTCAGCTTTTTCTAAAGCCATTGTTACAGAAATGTTTATTGGCTTTCTTGCAAAAGTTGACAACACTTAAAAATAAAAATTACACGTAGTCTTACTACAATTCAGGCTGGGTGTAGGTTTATATTAGATATTGGGGAAAAATTCTTTATTCAGAGGGTGGTAAGGCCTTGGCACAGATTCACAGAGAAGCCAGGGCTGCCCCCTTCCTGGAAGAGTCCGAGGCTGGGCAGAGCCTGGAGCAATTTGGTGTAGTGGAAGTTGTCCCTGCCCACAGCAGGAACCTAACCCATTCTGTGATCTGTGGAAACCTCAGAAACTCTCACAGCTGTTTACATGAACAGCAGCACAACAAGTGTGAACCCCTCCAGCACAACACTGCCCAGGAGCTCTGTGCCTGAGACAGGGAGGGCTCAGTCCTCTTCCAGGGTTCTCTGCGGGCTCACATGGAACACGATCCTCACCTTGCCCAGCATCTGCTCAGGAAGTCCCAGCCTCCCCGAGCCAGAGCCAAGAGGCTCCTGGTCAAGGTCTGTCCCAAAGGTTTTATTGCACAACCCGTGGCTGCTTGTGCCTCAGGCTGGGGTTTGGCCAAGGGCCATAAAAGCCAGAAAAACTTCAGCACGGCAGTGGCTGCGGCAAAACATCCCAAATTCAGCAGAAGGAATCACAAACACGCACAGAACATCCACTGAAGCTCACTTGAAGGCAGCACCTCACATGATTATCAAAGGGACTCAACCTTTTCAACATGTTCTAGTACCTTTTCAGAAAAAAAAAAAAGCCTAAGATTTTTAGGCTTTGGAGTAAAGTCCAAAGTGACAACACACCGTACGGGTAATTATGTAAACTCATTTATTTTCTGGTGAAGGAAAGCTTTCACCATTGCCATTTTTTTTGATCTAGGAAAGAAGCCCCTTGTGCTGCAGGAGCAGAGAGCAGCTCTGCAGCAGGGGAGGGAGAAGTTCTTGGGAGTGCTTTTGGCCTTGTAATTGGGGAAGCAGAGTCAGAAAGCCAGCCCAGCAGCGCTCTGGGGTGTTCCCTGCCAGGTGACATTACACACTTGTCTCTGTGGAGCACAGGAGCAAGGCAAGTTTCACCTCAGCCTCTCAACAACAACCTAGAGAGCAATTTTCCCCTCTCCACAGCATCAACAGGGCACTCCTTTCTCTTTCCTGCTGTTTAGAAAAGTTAGAGCCAACTGAGCAGTGATTGACCCTCCCCAGGCAGCTCTGCTCCAGAACCTGCCCTCACAACATGCCAGCATTTGATCACAGCTTGGTAAAACAGCACTGAAAACTTGCCAAAGGGAACTCAGCTTGTTCCTTCTTCCTCTGCAAGGCCTTGGCTGAGCTGTTTCCCCCCACTGGGGCTTGGGTCCCAACTGTGGAGCAGAGATAAGCAGCTGGAGCATGCTCTGTGTGTGTAGATTTGGGAGGACTTTGCTCAGGGCACGTTCTGTTCCCTGCCAGGATAACTGAAGGCTCCAAACACGCTCCCCTCAGCTGCTGGGCTGCAGCTCCTCCTTGTCACTGCTTTGAGCAAAACACACCTGTGGGCAGCAGTGCAGGTGAGCTGGGAGCAGCAGGCTCAGAGCCTGCTCTCCATGACACTCCAGCTGCTCCCCTGGGAGCCAGGAAAACAGGGAAGCCAGGGAGACAAGTGTGAGGGACAACAAGGCTTGTAAGAGCCAAATATCTACTGCCAGGAGACTTCATGAAATCTTTTAGGTTGAAAATTAATTTAGATGACAGAATCCAACCACTAACCCAGCACTGCCAGGTCCATCACTGAACCCATCTTCAGGGGAAGCTGAAGGATGCCCAAGAGCCCCAACAGTCAGCAATCCCAATTTTCCCCACAAGGCCACATTTCATCTTCCAGCATTTTAGGACAGCACACAAAAGTAATATTTAAACACTTAACAGGGAAGAAATGTTTGGCACAAAAATGCCTTGTGCACCTGCTGTGCTGAGGCTAAGGTCTCCAACAAACTGTCAAATCTCTCCTGCCTTCTATTGCCTTTTAAAGCCACAGAGATTTTAGGTTTCCTTGATTCAGCATGATGGATAATTCCCTCCTCAAGTGGCAGGAATTACCTTTTCAGCTCTAGAAAGTGAAGCCAGCGTTTTATTCTGCAGCTTTAACTGAGCACACAGAAATGGGATGCAGATCCCCAGACTCTGAAGCCTGCAATGTTCACTTGTTTGTGCATGATTAAAGCTCAGATTTACCCCCATAAAGAATTACCATTTACAACTCCTTTTTGCCCAGAGGCTGACCAGGAGGCTCTCCACCTCACTGACTTTAATAAATAGATGATAAGAATGAAAGAGGAAAGGCTGGTGCCACAAAACATCAGATCTCTCAGGTCATTTGCAACATGCCCAAGTGGAGCAGTGACTCAGAAGGTGAGCATTCCTCCCTAGCATGCAGAGGCTGCTCAAAGCAGGACCTGGAATTTGGGAGTTCTGGCAGTGCTTCACTCCCCTGCCTGTCAAGTGAGTCACTTGAATTTCAATAATATTTAAATAACAGCCTGCATCTCCCAGGCAGCAGCAGCAGCCAGCACAGCACTGTCTTTCCATGTTACAAAACGTGCAGGTGTCTCCACTCACACCCACCTGATGGAGCTCTGCAGTTGAGTTTGATTAGGAAATAACCCACCCAGAAAACTCCAGGCAGCAGGACACAGGGCCCACAGCAGGAGGCTCAAGCTGCCCTGTGTGAAGTTCACAGGACACTGTTCTGTCACCTCCAATGTCCCCGTGGCAGCTGGCAGGCAGAGCCAGGGACAGGCACTCCTTATGCAACAGGGATAAATATTGCCATGCCTGGGAAAGCACAGGGTTGGGAGTCAGGATTCATGCTTGCCAAACAAGCAGCTTTCCAAACATGCCCACTCTGGCTGTCGACACTCTCACTGTTCCAGACAGCCCTGTTTGTGACTGCTGCATCCAGGGCACCTCTGCTTTTCACAAAGCCTGGCTCTCCTCCAAGAGCCAACTTCCTTTTCTGTCTCAATTCAGGGAATTCAGCCCATCTAACTGCCACTTAGAAAGGCCCTGTAGGACTCTATGTTCAGAAAACCCTGAAACATTTTGCCTAGACAGGACTAAAAGGAGGATGAAGAGAGCTGAGGAACAAACTGGTTTGTTGCTCCAGGACAGTGTCCAGTGACCATTTGCACTCCAGCTGCCCTGTGACCATGTGAGGGGCCAGTTTGAAAGGCTGGCAGTGCTGTTTGGCACAGTCAGCTGCAGTGGGCACCCAGTGGTTTGTCACACTACAGACACTTCCTGTGCCAGGCCAGGGCTCTGCAGCTGATCCAGAGTGGGAAAGTGCCCAACCTCTAACTAACAGAGCTAGTTCTGCTGTTCAGTCACAATCTTTGCAAACAATGCTGCTCAGACTAATCACACCACACCACCAGGCAGATGTTTCATTATCTCTCATTCCGTTTGCCACTGCAGGACAAGAGCAGGCAGAATGGGAAGGCAGAACACTGGCAGTTACCAGGAGTGCTTTGCAATCAAACAGAATTCACAGGTGCAAGTGACTGCAGAGAATTTAGTGACCCACTCTGAAAAGCCTACAACTCAAGAACCCAGACAACCCCTACTTTTCCTAGCCACAAACCTGAAAAAGCACTAACAATTAGCATTGAGATGGCACTTTCAGGAGAGCAGGACAACATCCAGCTGCAGTAGGCTGGCTGGATGCAAAAGCTGGAAGAATTAGTAGATTAACAGATAGAAAACAGATTATTTGATTTCAAGGCACTTCATTTCCTCGATTTCTTTAAGCAGCATTTTTAAAAAGCACCTCAATACAGAAGATTAGTAGTTCACTTTGGAATTAACTGCTCATAATCGGTGAGGTATCACAGACTTACAGAAAGGAGAATCTCTGAGGCTCTCAGATTCCCCCCTTGCTCCTTTAATCACATTCCAGGCATTAATTACTCAGCTGCAGACCAGCTCACACCCTCTGCAGCTCTGCTTGAATCAACCTCTCAGTGACTTTTCTAACAGGGGACAGGCAAGTCACTGCAAAAGGTGGACACAAGGCACACAGACAGTGGGACCACAGTGCCCAGCGTAGTGTGGGGGCACAGCAGATGTAGAGATAAAAAAATAAGTAAGTTTTTAAGTAAAAACCGGCTCTAGTTTCCTCTTTGTCCTCTATAAAGAGGTAAAGAAAGTAGAGCCCCAGAGCTGAGCTCCTCTCTCCTAATGGGAAACCTGAGCATGGAGCAGAATGAAACACTGCTACCTGCTGCACTAGCACCAGTAACGTCACACAATTTTTCAGGGCATGTCTTTCTTCCGAAGAAAGTCTTCTACCAGCTGATCAAACTTCTGTGAGGAAAACTGCTTTAGGACATGTAAGGGAGTGAGCAAATACTGCTCTGCAAGTCCACTTGCAAGGTGCTCACTGAAAACAAGTGCTGCTCCTGCTGCTCCCAGATGCTCCCCACTCAGCTCTTCCTTGTCACCCCTGTGACAAGTGCGCCCTTCTTTTGAGCAGAGAGCTGGCTCACAGTAGTGCTGAGGAACCTTAACATCTGTAAACACTTCAGGTTTGCCAGTATTTTTCTCTGGGGAGTCATAAACAACCCCTCGGGGCACAGAACTCCCCAGGGCTCTTTTCCAGAGACTTGTGGGTTTCTGCCCCCTCCTTCGCCTTTGCTGCTGTCCAGGCTCTTGCACAATCTTTGAGACTCTGAAGTCAGGAAGCACCTGGGGAGCAGAGCTCAGGTATTCCTGAAAGTAAACCTGGCACATGTTGTCCTTCACAATGGGAATGACGGAGCAGGGTTTCAGCCACTTCACAAACTCACGCAGCTCCTCAAAGGACGAGTGATCCGAGTAGGGGACGAGGTGGATGTTGGGGTGGGTGACCTTCACGGGCCTGCCCGTGGGGACGATGGCAATGGTGGGGTGCTGCGCGTTCCAGGCGACCAGCGCGTCCCAGCGGATCTCGGCGACGTCCACGGCGCGGATCCAGCCCGCGCCCTCCTCGGCGGTGAACACATCCGGCAGCTCCAGCAGCCGCATCTGCTCCAGGCGCCAGGGGCTCACCACCACCCACGTGCTGAACTCCAGCGCCAGGTCCACCAGCAGCGTCTCCTTGCCCAGGGTGTACACACCTGCCAAGGGAGCAGCGGCTCAGGGGCAGGGCAGAGGGACGCAAGCCCTGGCTGAGGCCGTGCTAGCAGAAGGGAGGGCAGCACTCACCGATCACCACGTGGTGCTGCGGGTGGGCACGGATGAGGCGGGCAGCCTGGCGGGTGGCCAGCGCCCGCGAGGGCAGGGCCCGCTCCGGGTGGCAGTGGGTGTTGTCCAGGTACAGGCGGTCGATGTGGCGGCCCCTCAGCGCCGGCTCGCCCTGCATGGCGCTCGTGTAGCGGAAATCTCCTGCAAGGAAAGGGATGGCAGGGCAGGGCCCAGAGAGGGGGCTGAGTTTCCCTCAAGGAGGGCATTTCAGAACCATCTGGTCACAAGTCTGTGCCATGTGCTCTGGGACAGCCCTGCTTGAGCAAGGCTTTGGGACCAGGTGACCCACTGCGGTCCCTTCCAACCTAGCCCATTTTGTGATTCTGTGATTGAGGGAACCTGCCCTGTACCTGTGTAGAGGATGGTGCCGAAGGCGCCCTCAAAGAGGAACATAACGGAGCCAGGACAATGGTTGGAGTCGATCAGCGTCACGGTCACCTCACCCACGACATGGCTCTGCCCCACCTCCAGCGGCCGGATCCAGCACTTCGACACCTGCAGGGGCCGAGGTGTGAGGGCAGGGCAGATGACAAGGGTTGAGACAGGCACGCGGTGTTGCCCAGGCGATGAGGGCAGAGGCGGGCGGGACACACCTACCTGCAGGCGGTGGTGCAGGAGGCGGGCGGTGAGCGGGGAGCAGTACAGCGGGCGGCTCCAGGTACTGGACAGCCCCACCGTGTGGTCCGAGTGCATGTGGGACAGGAAGAAGAGGCGGGCGCCGGCCGCCTTCCGCAGGCTCCAGAAGTCCACGGCGATGGGGGTCCCGGCCAGCACCGTCCCGCTCATGGCGGGCGTGAACCTGGGACCCCGCTCCCCTCACGCCGGTTTTGGCGGGAAGCGCCGCGCACGCGCGGGCGGCGCGGGGCGGGGCGGCGTGACGTATGCCGGGGTCACGTGGGCGGGGCGGCGGAGCGGCACCGGCACCGGGATCTGGATCTGGGACCGGGACTCGTAGCAGGACCGGGAGCGTCGCTTAGGAGCGGCACCTGCGCGGGGCCATGCCGTACCTGGGCGGCGAGGAGGCGCAGCGGGAGCTGCGGCGGGCGCTGTCGAACCCGCACGTGCAGGCGGACCCGGCGCGGTACCGCGGCGCCGTGCTGCGCGTGATCCGGTACGCCGGGCGGGGGGGGGGGCGCGGGGCCCGGGGGCCGATCCGGCGCTGAGCCCCGTGCCCGCCCCGCGCAGGCTGATGGCGCAGGGCGCCGACGTGTCGGGGCTGTTCCCGGAGATGGTGAAGGCGGGCGCGGTGCCGGACGTGGTGCAGAAGAAGCTGGTGTCGTTCTACGTGCGCGCCCAGGCCCCGCGGCAGCCGCAGCTGGCGCTGCTCGCCGTCAACTCCCTGCGCAAGGACTGCGCGCACCCCAGCCCGGCCGTGCGGGGGCTCGCCCTGCGCACCATGTGCGGCCTCAGGTGCGCCGGGGCCGGGCGGGCACCGGGGATGTCCCCGGCCGCCGTGCCCCGCTGACGGCCGGCTGCCCTCCCGCAGGATGCCCGGGATCCAGGAGTACCTGCAGCAGCCGCTGGTGAACGGGCTGCGGGACAAGGCGTCCTACGTGCGCAGGGCGGCCGTGCTGGGCTGTGCCAAGATGGTGAAGCTGCAGGGGGACTGCGAAGTGGGTGAGTGGCTGGTGGCCGCGGGGCTGGGGACACGCAGCTGCGGTGTCGGTGATGTGTATTCAGCCCTCAGGGCTGTCCTGGGGTCCCTGTGCTGCCCCTGTGTTGTCGTGGCTGCAGGGCGGAAGGAGAGAGAAAGAGGAGGGTAATTAATGAATGATTGGGAAAATTGCAGTGTGCCAGCAGATGCTGATGGCAGGAGCTCTGTGCTTTGCAGATGGTGCTCTGGTGAATGAGCTCTACAGTTTGCTTCGGGACCAGGACCCCATTGTGGTCGTGAACTGTCTGAGGGCCTTGGAAGAGATCTTGAAGAAGGAGGGAGGTGTTGTCATCAACAAACCCATTGCCCATCATCTCCTCAACAGGTTTGCTTTCTTTGGCACTGAGATGGTGCTGGAAGCTTCTCCTGTTCTCACGTTTTCTGTGCAGAGAGGCAGTTCCTGGAGGACAAAGCCTTCTCTGCACAGGTGTTCCTGCCCCCCCTTACCCCCTGTGCCCCTGGCAGGATGCCTGACCTGGACCAGTGGGGGCAGATGCAGAGAGGCAGTTCCTGGGGGACAAAGCCTTCTCTGCACAGATGTTCCTGACCCCCTGTGCCCCTGGCAGGATGCCTGACCTGGACCAGTGGGGGCAGAGCGAGGTGCTCACCTTCCTGCTGCGCTACAAACCCCGCAGCGAGGACGAGCTCTTCGACATCCTCAACCTGCTCGACGGCTACCTCAAGAGCAGCAGCCCCAGCGTCGTGGTGGCAGCCACCAAGCTGTTCCTGGTGCTGGCCAGGGAGTACCCAGATGTGCAGGCAGATGTGCTGGTGCGGGTGAAGGGCCCGCTGCTGTCTGCCTGCACCTCGGAGAGCCGCGAGCTCTGCTTCACCGCGCTCTGCCACGTGCGCCAGATCCTCAGGAGCCTGCCCGGCCACTTCAGCAGCCACTACAAAAAGTTCTTCTGCTCCTACTCGGAGCCCCACTACATCAAATGCCAGAAGATGGAGGTGCTGTGTGAGCTGGTGAACGATGAGAACGTGCAGCAGGTGCTGGAGGAGCTGCAGGGTTACTGCACCGACGTGTCGGCGGAGCTGGCGCAGGGAGCGATCTTTGCCATAGGTGAGGGCCGTGCCTTGGCTGCAGCCCTGCACCTTTCAGGGGGGCTGTTCTCTGCTCAGGGGTGCCTGGGCAAGCAGCAAATCGCTGCTCTGTGCTGCAGCAGCACGGACAGCAGCTTACCTGGGAGTGGTTTGTGTCAGGGTGTTTCTGAAGTCTGATTGTTTCAGGAGTCCTGGCGTTGAGCTGCTTCAGGTTGTGCAAGAAAGTCCTTGGATCTTGTGCTGTGAGGAGATGCTCTGGAGAAAATGTGTCATTTCATCTTGTTAATGAGCTTACAGTGTTCAGTGAAGCTGTGCAGGGGGTGGAGGAGCTCTGACTCCTGCTTGTCCTTTGAGCTGCGATGGGGCCAGAGTTAAGGTGGTAGTTTTGGTTTTGTGAGCTTTAAAAATAGGTGAATTATTACAGTGTTCATAAGGAGAAAGTTGGGGATGACAAAATCCTTTTTTTTAATGTATTACATTTAAGAAAAGTTCAGACATCTTCTGAGGCTTGGCCCCCCCAAAAAAAAGAACAGGTCCCTGGTGTGGAGAACAAGCTCATTTGGCCACACTTTCAGCAACAGTAGTCAGAAGGGAAAGGAGGGAGATTGTTCCTTTAAAGAGAGTTTGTGATGGGTAGCTGGGTTCATGATTCCTGTTTCACTCTGATAAAGGTTGATTTTTATGTCTTTTTGACATCCCTGCAGCCAATATTGCCAGGACATACACGGAGCAGTGTGTGGGGATTCTGACAGAACTTCTGGGGCTTCAGCAGGAGCACATCACCTCAGGTAACCATTGCTGCTGGTTTATGCTCTCAGGAGGTGCCTTTGCTGGAGCTCCTGATCCCAAACCCAAAGGCTCTTGGCTTTCAGTTTAATTGGCACCTTCAGTGGAAGTTTTCCAGGTGGGTTGAGGGGTGTGAGGTGTGTTCCTTCTCTGTGGGAAAGGGGAAGATGGTTGTAGCTGTGTTCATGCTTCTTTCTGGCTGCCACCTGCTGACTCAGGGAGTGAGGGGCTCAGCAGAGACATTTTACTGTCTGTTTGAGAGCCAAGATGATTAATAGATCTTTTAGATCGCTGTGATTTCTGTTCCTCACATAATAGTCTGATTCAGTTGTGCCCAAGCTTCCTTTTTTCTGTTCTGCCCTCAGATCCACCTTCACATCGCTGCTGTTCCTGCTGTTCTCTTTTAACTGCTCTTGCTCTCAGATTTGAAAACCACACACTTGCACTCAGCTGTTGAATTCCATCTCAGGAACTGTTTTTGTGTCTGAGTGAGCAGCAAAACCTTTCAAGTTTCGACCTAAAGTTCACGAGCCTCATTTTGAATCGGGGTCAGCTTTAATTTGTCATTCTAACCTCGTGTGTCTGAAGCATCATGAGTCAGAGGCTTTTTAAAGGCTGGCAGGGGCCAGGAGAGAGGCTGCTCTCCAGCAGAGGAACAATCTGAAGTCTCAGTGCTCTATTTTAGACCTGGTGCAGCTTTGCTCTGACAAAGGCAGTGTCATGGGATTGGGAAGGAGGATGCCTCAAATCACAGTCTCAGGCAGGGCACTGACCCTCCTGGCTGAGATTTGCAAAGCCCCTTGAGTGGGAGAGGTTTGAAATTATTTTTTTTCTTTTCCCTGGTGGTTTTTATGACCCTTGGGGGATGCTGATAACTTGTTTTCCTTGCAGCTGTGGTCCGTGCTTTCCGGGACCTGGCCTGGCTGTGTCCCCAGTGCACAGATGCCGTGTGCCAGGCCCTGCCTGGCTGTGAGGACACCATCCAGGACAGCGAGGTGAGGGGGAGGGCGAACAACAACTGTCCATCTTCCCTTTGCCTTGAGACTGGGGGCAAAAATCAGAAATCCTCAGATTTGTTCTCCCAGCGTGCTCATTTCCCGCCAACACGTGGCACACAGCCGCTGTTTGCTGGTGTTCCTGTGGTTCCCTCAGGGCAAACAAGCACTCATCTGGCTGCTGGGCACCCATGGGGAGAAGATCCCGAACGCTCCCTATGTCCTGGAGGACTTTGTGGAGAACGTGAGGTCGGAGTCGTTGCCAGCAGTGAAGATGGAGCTGCTGACGGCGCTGCTGCGGCTCTTCCTGGCCCGGCCCGCCGAGTGCCAGGACACGCTGGGCAGGCTGCTCCACTACTGCATTGGTGGGTTCCCCGTGTCCCCACGGCTCTCAGGGAGCTGGCAGGGCTGTGTCCCCAGGCTGTGTCAGCATCCAGGCTGCTTCCAGGTGGTTCCATGCCTTAGGCTGCTGCCTGGCCCCTGGCGCGCTGGGTGTGGAGTCATGGCTTCAGAGTGGAAGGGACCTTAGAGGTCATCCAGTTCCACCCCCTGTCCTGAGCAGGGACACCTTCCCTGTCCAACCTGGCCTTCCAGGGATCCAGGGGCAGCCATAGCTGCTCTGGACACCCTCACAGGGGAGGATTCTTTCCCAATATCCCATCTAACCCTGCCTTCTGTCAGTTTAAAACCATTCCCCCTTGTCCTTTGGCTGCCTGCCTGTAATCAGGCTTGCACCGTACCCCTGAAAGGTTTTAATAATTCAGTGTCAGTGCTCTGGGGCAGCGTGGCTGGTGGGATTCTCCATGGGTTGCTGTCTGTGGTTGCAGAGGAGGAGCAGGACATGGCCGTGCGGGACCGGGGGCTGTTCTACTACCGCCTGCTGCAGTCTGGGGTGGAGGAAGTGAAGAGGGTCCTGTGCAGCCCCAAGTCTGACCCCTCCCTGGGGCTCCTGGGGGAGCAGAGCAAGCAGCCTGTCAATGCCTGGGCTCTGGAGTTCAACACTCTGGCCACGGTTTACGGCAGAGAGCGCTGGGCGCTCGCCACCGCTCAGCAGCCTGTGGAGCCCTCCTGCTCCTGCTCTCCTGGTGCTGATTCCAGGAGCAGAGACACAGGTAAACCTGCCTCACCTTCCTCTGGGAGCCATTCTCCCCTTGCCAGCAGAACACAGAATCCCAGAGTGGTTTGGCTTGGAGGGAGCCTTGAAATTCTTCTCGTTCCACCCCCTGCCATGGGCAGGGATCTTCCCCTGTGCCAGCTGCTCCCAGCCCTGTCCAGCCTGGCCCTGGGCACTGCCAGGGATCCAGGGGCTGCCACAGCTGCTCTGTGTGCATCATCAGCCAGGATGATATCATCATCCTGGATATATCTGATAACATCATCAGCCAGGATGTTCTCCCGTGGGTTTGTTGGGAAGAAGGTCAGAGTGCTTTGGGAATTTGGTGTGCAGTGTGTGGCTGGTCACTCACTAGCCCAGGAAATGCTGCTGGTGGCACTGGGATTGCAGCTTCCCTCTGCTCCATCAGATGGGCTCTGTGGAGCTGGGAGCTGCATCTCACGGGGGTCTGTGCTTTCATTCCAGAATCACTGGTTTCTGAAGGGGACAAGGAAGTCCTCGAGGTTCATCCTGATACTCCAGTGTCTGAAGGGGATAAAGAACTCCTCCAGGCTCATCCTGATGCAGGCAGCCTAAGCTTGATTCCTGATGTTTCCCTGACTGCAGAACAGTTTGAGAAGACCTGGCTGAGCCTGGACACGAGCTGCCAGCTCTCTGTGCCCTGGTGTGGGCCTGTCCATGCAGACACCATCCAGACAGCCCTTCATGTGGTGCACATCCACACCATTGCCATGAGCAAAGCTGGAGCCCAGCTCTGGAAAGCTTATCTGAGTGCCCAGGATGACTCAGGCTGCCTCTTCCTCACAGAGCTCCTGCTCCAGGCAGCAGATTCAGAGCTGCAGGTTTCGGTGAAGCAAAATGAAGCAAAGCCAGAGGCACTGCAATCCTTCATCTCAGCCTTGAGGACAGTCCTGGAGGCAGTGGCTGGACTGGAGTCTTGACTGGTCCCTGCTCCCGGCAGGATGCATGCTCAGGGCACAGGAAAAGTTGATTTTTCTGGCTCCTTTTGCCATACCCAGTGCTGGTTTGGTAGTTTTAAAGTGCAGGGTGAAGGGGCTGCCCTCCCCCTGGGCTGGGACAGGACAGGGTCACTCTGGTGTGAGTCACAGGACTGGTGGCATCCGTGGTGGGTGTCATGAGGCACAAACATCACCGGTGGAACCAGAGCTGAGCAGAATTCAGGGGTGTGTTTTGGAGAGTTTTTTCCTGAGAATTATAAATAATTTTTTAAAAAAACCAAACCAAACACCAGAGGCACCAGGACTCTGCCACTTGCCTCACATAAAGAGGAGCAGTGCAGTGAGAAGAGAATCTTTCATTCTTGGCTCCCTTTAGATTTGTTTTAATTTGCTGTCTGATTCCAGTAGTGGCTTTGCTTGGGAGTGAGCAGAGCTCTGCTGTGCCAGAGGAGGGCGGGCAGGGGACATCCTGCTGGCTGGAACCGTGTGGGTTTTTAACTGAAAAGTGTTACTGAGGTGAGAATTGCCTTCTCTGAAGCTCCCCCAGCTCCTTGATTGAGGGTGAGGTACACAGTGAGACTGATCTAACAGGGATTTAAGGTACTCTGTGAGGAGCACAAGCTTCTTTTAATCCTCTTCTTCCCAATTTCTTGTAATTTTTGGTTTCTTTGACTGACTTGATTGTACCCTCAAATGGCACTGTGCCTTCCATGCACTTCACTGAATCCCTGTCTCTGTTACACAGACTTCTGCCTTTCCTAATAAAAATATGAATCGTTCTTGGCTGATTTCTGGAGTTTCTTGTTCCTTCAACCCTCAGGGCTGTGGATGGAGCGATCTGTGGATCAGGGCACCTCTGCAGCCCAACAGGGTGTTCCTCTGACCTTCCTTGTAGCAAAGCTTTAAGGAGCAATTGGGCAATAATTAATCTCAGCCTCAAATGCCAAATTACTGTAAAGGGTGAACCTGCAGGTGCACTCAAAGGCAGTCACCAGCCAGCTGTAGCAGGGCTCCTGCTGACAGCTCCCACAGCTGTGTTGTGTTCCTGCCCTCAGGGAGGGCTGATGTGAAAGCAGACTAGAACTTCCATCCCTGGAAAGTGTCCAAGGCCAGCTTGGATGGGGTTTGGAGCAACCTGGGATAGTGGAAGGTGTCCCTGCCCATTGAGATGAGCTTTAAGGTCCCTTCCAACCCAAACCATTCCGGGATTCTACGTTAAAAGCGTGAAGAGGAACTGTGGATTTTCCATGCTGTTTTCTGGACTCTTCCAGCCACATTCCAGGCTTGAAGCCTTCCTGGTGAAGCACTGGGATGTGAATGAGCCCCCTGGGTGCCCTGGCAGTGATGGCTGCACACGGTGCTGTAGGAATTGGGGCGGTGGGGGGTTGGTGGGTGTCCAGCGTGTCCCTACCCCTGTGCTGCCCACCCTGTGCCAGTGGGGCTGGTTTGAGCAGAGGGTGCCAGGGCCCCGTGCTGTGTGTCTGTTGTGTTGTTTGACCAGGATTATCTGCCACGCACTAATTTCCTTTGGGGCTGTGATGAAGTCAGAAAACCACAGGCAGCTCTCCCCGGCGGCGCCTTCCGCCGCGGATCACTTGACATGTCCCGTCCCAGGAGGGCCAGGCCAGGCTCCCTCCAGCACCATGGACCAGAGGGGAATCCTGCTGCAGAACCTGGAAAGGGCCCAAGGCAAGAAGCTCAACCGAGGACAGTTTGCAGAGGAGTTTTTGGTGAGTTCTCTCAAGGCTTGGCTCAGTGTTTCAGCTCATGTCGGAGGGAATCGCTCGCTCTCAAACCTGTGACAGATTTTCTAGGAGTTTCATAGCAGACACCCAGAAGTTAACTGGGCTAAGAGGAGTGTAAAGACATGATAGGGAATTAATAGTTTGCATTTGAACTGTTTGCTTTTTAACTAATCGCCCGAGTGCTTCCTGTTTTCTGCTTGGTGAATGCACTTGTCGGGACATGGTTTCACTTTGCCTGGTGACAGGACTGGGGGGACAGGGAGGAATATGGAGCCTCTGGCCCTGGTGACACAGCTGGGGATACAGGGGGGAATATGGAGCCTCTGCCCCTTCTCCCCATGGCAATCTGTTAGACCTGTGGCACGTGAGTTCCTGCCAGGCATCTCTGGTTTTGCCTTGACTTAGCCTGTCCTTGTTTTTACAGAGCACGGGCTGCCCCATCCCTGGAGGTGCCCAAGACCAGGGTGGAAAGGGCTTGGAACAGCCTGGGACAGCAGCAGCAGGTGTCCCTGCCCATGGCAGGGGGTGGAATTAGATGAGCTTTAAGGTCCCTTCCAACCCAAACCATTCTGGGATCTGCGTGCTCTACATCCAGCAGAGCTCCTGGCCCCTCCTGGAAGCTACTTTCTTGTTCCCTCAAGGCAAAAGCTGCCCAAAATGCTGTTGGCTGCCACCTCCCCCTGTGGATTCATTGCCCTGAATCTGTGAGCTCCCTGATGTATTTTTTGGTTTGGGTGCCAGGTGAGGCTCAGATGTGCTAAAGCTGGTGGCTGGAGGTGGCTCTTGGTGCATCAGCTGGAGGCAGGTGGCTCTGACGGGCTGTCTGGGCTGCTCTGAGGGGCAGTGACATTGCCCAGCTCCCACAGACACACAAAAGGGTAAAACTGTGACATCTGAGGTGTGTCAAGCACTGGAGTGACCCTGGCAGTGGGCTCTGGGTTACTGAGAGGTCTCCACAAGCCCCAGCCCTGCTCTGTCATACTAGCAAAATTTGGCCCTTCAAACACTTGGGGAAAGCTGAGTGCTTGGTTTCCAGGTGTCTGGGGTGGAGGGAAGTGATTAATCTGAGCCTGCAGTGACAGGCTGTTGTTCCATGGAACAAAGTGCTGTCACAGCCTGCTGAGTTTCCCCTCTCTCTGCCTGGTGCCTGTGTGTGTGAGGCAGTGGGCTCTGAGCCCCGCTGCTCAGGCTGCCTCCAGCAGCCTGGTGTATTAATTTCTGATCAAAATGGCAGGTGGAAAGGGTCAAGGCTGCATTTCCTCTTTTATGGGATAAGATCTTTTCAGAGACACCTGATTTGTGGCTGCTTTTGCAAGGCAGATAAATTCATGCCATTCCTCCACCCCAATTCCTGCCCTCTCCTTGTGGGACCAAGCATTTTTATGTGCAAATTGTGGTGATGTTACTGCAAATGACAGGGTTTTTGTTGGAGCCCCCTTTTTCTGTTTGTGCAGTCTCACAGCTGGGCACTGCCCAGGCTCCCCAGGGAATGATCCCAGCCTCGAGGCTGCCAGAGCTCCAGGGGTGTTTGGAAAATGCTCTCAAGCACAGGGTGGGATTTTGGGATGTCTGTGCCAGGCCAGGAGTTGGACTCAATGATTCTTACGGGTGCCATCCAGCCCAGGATCCAGCCCAGGATATTCCAGGATTCTGTGATTCCCACTGTGTTTTTCATACCTAGGTGTTTCCCAAGCAGTTTCATGTCAGATTATTCAGGGACAGAAAAGTCAGATGATTCTGGGAAGACTGGCTTTAGTATGGAGTGATGCCCCTTCCATGAAAGCTTTCCCTGGAAGCTGGAGGTGCACTGGAAGGAGGAAGGGGAGGATGTGACCAACACCTGAATTGCTCAGAAGGTTACAGGGATGTGGAGGCAACAAAACCCACCCTGCTCCCACAATTTTTATCCCACTGTGTCTGCCCCACATTCTTAATTAATAGATACTGGACATATGGACTGTCCTGAGCCTCCTGTACCTCCTCCCTCACTCATTCCATCAGATCTCTGAGATTTAGTTTCTATTGTGGCTGAATTTAGTGTTTTAAAATTGCAGTTTAACATTAAATACCAGCAATCTGGACACAAAAATATGAAATAAAAAACGCAGTGAGAATGGTGCTTCTGAAGCTGATGGTAACAAACAGTGTGTGTTGTTTAGGAGCTGGTGGCAGTGAAATAAAATTCTATGCTTTACCTGGAGAAAGATGATTTAACTCCCTGTGAGTGCTGCAGCTTTATCCTTAAAATGAGAGATGAGAGCTTTGCTGCCCTAAGGGTCTGCCCCAGGACTCCTTGTCTTTCCCCAGTGCATGGAACCACTCTGCTCCAGCTCCCCATGCTCCCTTCATGACTTAAACATCACTGCTTCCAGCTACAGATGGGAACATCTCTACCAAAGTGGGAAAAATCTATAGCTTTACCTGTCTTTTCTGGTATCATTTGTTGAAGGTGCTTTGACATTGTCACTCCTCTGATCTGGGTGCCATTTGTGGCTCTCTGAGCCTCTCACTTTGTGAGGGTGATGCTTTGTGTCACTTCACAAGGCGACGTGTGGGCACTGCCTCAGCACACACTTTCCATCCTTCACAAGCCTCTCACAAGGTTCTGCCTCTATTCTTGCTCTGAGCAAAGCCACTCAGGAAAGAATTAATGGTGGTAGCAAACACAACCCCTGGAGACCTTCATGTGCTCTCTGGTAGTGAGCTGGCTGCAGCACGTCTGCTGTAATTTGTTCCACTCTTTTATCACAGAAGCTGAAGAGACAGTCAACAAAGTACAGATCGGATAAAATCTACCCTACAGCAGCGTCTGAGCAGCCAGAGAATGTCAAGAAGAACAGATACAAGGACATCTTACCTTGTAGGTTGGAAATGGCACATGTTCCTACTCAGCCTTTTGTTTCTCTTGCTTTTCTTGTTCTCATTCTCTGGTGCCTGCCTGCACGGCTGTTGTATGTGAACATCTCACTGCTCTCTGTTGGCTTTGAGTCCTGCTGCTCAGATTTAGGGCCTTGGCTGCTGCAGTGCCTGCTCTGGAGGACTTTGGCACTTATCAGCACTGTCAGGCACATGGTGGGATTTTGGGGATGTCCTGTGCAGGGAGGGGAGTTGACTTGATGATCTTTGTGGGCCCTTTCCAACTCAGGATATTCTGTGATATTTCTACAGGCAGAAGAACTTCTTTTCCCTAGGAAACACATCCTCCTGTGATAATCCTTGCAAGTTTCTGCTTAGCACTGTAACCACTTGCATCCAAAGGGATGTCTCCACGATGTGCAAAGCAGACAACAGGCAAACCCTGCTGTGGCTTGGCTTGCCTTGGGGCAGGGGTGTCCAAATGACTCCGTCCCAGCATCAGATCAGACTGTCTCTTTTGTCCATTCCAGCTTGGAAAAGAAAGCAAATCACAGAATCATTGAGGTTGGAAAAGACCTCCAAGATCAGGTTCAGCTTTCAAACCTCTGTATCTAACCCCACAGAGCTGGCTGGAGCCTGGAGTGCTGTTGGGTGGTTTTGGGCTTGGCTTGCTGCGTGGTCAGAGGGGACCAGCACTGCACTGGGGTACTGGCAGCACCTGCAGCTCTCCCCTAAATCCTCCCTCACTGTCTGAAAGGATCTTTCCATCCCCTGTGCAGGGCTGAGGGAGGTGTGGGGGGCACATCAGCTGCTTGCACAGCCACCCACCCCCCTGGCTGGGCTCTCTGACATGAATGCTCCCCCAGAGCCCCCGGTGCTGCCCTCCGAGGGCTCTGTGACCTTGAAGGACAGACACTGACTGCTCTCCCTGCTTTTGCAGTTGACCACAGCAGAGTGGAGCTGTCCCTGATTACATCAGACACAGATTCTCATTACATCAATGCCAACTTCATCAAGGTTTGCCTCTTTTGTGGTGTTTTCGTCCTGCAAAGGTGTTGGTGGTGCCACCTCGGTGGGTTGTGCCTGGAGGAGCAGGCTGGGGGCTCTGCAGCAGTTTCTGGGCTGTGCTCAAGGATAACTGATGTAAGAAGATGAGTGAGCCCTCCAGAAACCCCCTG